GGCCACTCTGTCTAAATGGAATAAATTTACATACTGCTCTTCTAGGCATTTTATACCAGCTTCTCCAGCTCCTCTTGGATAAGTCTGAAGCACTCCCAGGCCAGCAGAGTGATATTGTCCCTCTATCATGTCCTGTGTTGTCCTCTATGCCTCCTCTTGGTGAAAAAATGTGTCTGAACATCTCTCATGGGAGGCATAAAGGGAGCATCCAAAAAAAATGTTCAAGCCACCTTAGCTGACTCCTCTCAATGTAAAGGAGTAGTGACCCTACTCCGAGCCTCTCTCTAGTGACCAAGCTCCTCAACCTCTGTCCAAGGTAGTGCCCAGCCACACCATGGAGCAAGCTCATTTGTGCCACTTGTATCTGGGATCTCCTTCTTATGGTCATGATCCAGATTTCCTGACCGTAGGTGAGGGTAGGAATGAATGCCGACTGGTAAATTCGAGATCTTTGCCTTTTTGCTCAGTTCTGTCTTACCTACAACAGACCAGTGCAGCATCTGCAGTATAGCAGCAGCCACGATGCTCTGTCTATCGAGCTACTGCTATATTCTCCCCCCACTCGTGAACAGGACCCCAAGATCCTTGAGCTCCTCCACTTGAGGCAGGAACCATCCTCTAACCTGAAGAGGACAAGCCCTCTTTTTCTGATCAAGAACCATGGCCTTGGATTTGGAGGAGCTGATCCCGGCCACTTCAGACAGCTGGGACAAAAACCACACTGCTCCTCCTGAAGCCAGGGTTCAACAATCAGCTGGACTCTCCTCTACATCAGGGTAGAATAGGCCTTCTGAGGGAAGCAGAGAAGTGTGATTCCACTAGAGTTGTAACACACCCTCGGGCCACCTATATTTTGCAGAGGAACCAATGTCCCAGTCTGCCAATCCAGGGAACTTCATTACTCGCATTGGCCTGCCAAAACTGTCTGGCTTCCTCCTATTCCAGCGTATCCAGCTCAGCAAACGGTGATGAATGGTGGACAGCTCCGTCCCTCTCTTCATCTGAGTCTCAAAGTTATGAGGCCAATGGTCAGAAGCTAGGACTACAAAATCGATTATTGACCTCCAGCCCAGGGTATCCTGGTGCCAAGTGCACCATTTGACATTCTTATGCTTGCACATGGTGCTCATTATGGGCTTGCAAAGAAGTCCAACAACTCTTCACAGGGATGCTAAGAAGGCCTGGTACTTCATACTGCCATTCGGCCCATAGGCTGATACAACCGTCAGAGACCTCTCGCCTACCCGAAACGGAGGTCTTTCACTATAAGTAAATGGAAAGATGAGACAACTGAGCTTGGGGCAGACAAGCATACCCATCCCCGCCTTTTGCCTCTCCTTGCGGGCCAATCTAGAGAAGAAGTGACCCCAGTGCCTTTTAAGGAGCTGGGTTCCAGAGCCCGTGTTACACGCCGAGGTGAGCCCAACTATTTGTAGCTGGTATCACTCCACCTCGCGGACAAGCTGAGGCTACTTCTGCCCAAGCAAGGTGACATTCATCATCCCCAGAGATAGGCTAAGCTATGCACTGGTCCCTCAGGGTTGCTCCTGGTGGTGGTGGTTCACCAATAGGAAGGCCTCATGTGACTCCTTTGGGTTGGACCCAGATGGGTCCCACAAGAAAGAACCAGACTACCAGGAGCCCACAGACAAACCCCAACCCCTGACCTTTCTCAGCGTGGGGTCCTTCCTCCACCATACCAAGAGTTGTCTTAATTTCTTCGCCATCATGGGGTTTATTGAGCTTCTCTTTGTCTAACCCATCACCCAGGTCCTGTCTGTCTTGACACACTCTACCAGGGGCATTGAAGTCCTGGACACAATAGCCTCTGGGATCATCCAGGCACAGTCACCACACCTAGTCTTCAAAAGAGGAGAGAGCTAAATCAACAAAGTAAAAAAATCTCCCTTTCACCTTTAGGAACCATCAGTAAACCTGCTTGCTGAAGATTGTAATAGTCCACTCTTGGATAAACAGATGTATTAATTTATACATGAAACACAAAGCATCATGAAGGCCAAAAAAAGAATCTTCCCTTGTCCTTTTTCATAATGGATTTGTCCTTGTTCCAGGCTTTATTACTTTATTACTAGAGGTGGCTGACAAAGCAACTGCACTGAAAATGCTACGGTCAGTGGGATGTTTTGCTTAATTTTCTCCAAAGATGTTTTTGAGGTCTGTAAAGAGGAAGTGGAAACAATCTGTCACAGAGTTTCCTACAACTGATTTACCAGAGAAGGTTGCTGGGTGCAAGTCTGTTTATTTGTTATGAAGGGGTTCTTATTTCACTCATGAAACAAAACTACTGCATTAGGCAGAAGAATGTTGTTGCTACAATAGAATTGTATATGGAGATGCTCTCTAAAAAAAAAAATTGCTCTTTCTTACAGGAGACAGACTATGAAGGGTATGTCTACGATAACAACAACTCTGTGATCTGTGATGCGGAAGAAGAGGTGCTGCAGACCTTCTACGCCAAGTTCTACCCCATTCTCTATACCCTCATCTTCCTGCTGGGTTTGGCAGGAAACGGCCTGATGATCGCCGTCCTCCTGAGGCGTCACCATCGGCTGCGCATCACTGAGATCTACTTGCTGCACCTCGCCCTCTCTGACCTCATGCTGATATTCACGCTGCCCTTTGATGTGATTGAGGGCATCACTGGCTACATATTTGGAAACTTTTTCTGTATGTTTAATGGAGTGTTAAGAAATCTGAACCTCCTGTGTGGAAGTTTCCTCCTGGCTTGGATTGGTTTTGACCGTTATTTGGCCATTGTCCATGCAATACCCAGCATGCAAAGTCGACGCCCGAAAAAAGTGCACCTGACGTGTGCTTCACTTTGGTTCGTCTGTTTCCTATTAGCACTGCCCAACGCAGTCTTTCTCTCTGTTGCAAAGTACACAAACGACTCCTTGGCTGATTGTAATTATTACCGTTTTGAAACTCATGCCCACAACTGGGTTTTATTCAGAAGGGTTTTGAATCACCTAAGCTTTTTCCTTTCTCTGGCTGTCATGTGTTATTGTTACACTGCACTTGTCATCACCCTGTTTAAAAGTCAAAAAAGCCATGCCAAGAAAGCAGCCATCCGACTCGCTTTGCTCGTCACACTTGTGTTTTGTTTGTGCTGGCTGCCACACAACATCACCTCGCTGGTAAAAACTCTGATGGACCTGGAAATCATGACAGATATGTCCTGCTCATCCTGGACCTTGATCAACCAGGCCGACACTGTGACAATGAGCCTGGGCATCGCACACTGCTGCCTCAACCCTTTCCTCTATGCCTTTGTGGGGGTGCAGTTTCGGAACGAGCTCTTGCACCTTCTGTGTCGTCTGGGCTGCAATCGCCTCTGCTTACGTTTCATCAGAGTTCAAGACAGCAGAGGACCATCGTTTTCTGATGGAACAACATCGAACAGCATTATGTACTAAACAACAGATTTGTCAAGGGAAAAGGCCAATTTAATCATCTCCAATGTTTACATAATCCATGTGGGTTAGAAATAGGTTGATAATTGGGCTGGGAGATTGCTGATATTGGATTGTGGGAAAACTTTGTCAAAATAAAAACAAAAAAATACAAATATTTTTATTTCATAACCAGTTGAGATCTACAAAGTAGTTTCACCAATGAATTGTTTTTATTCAACCAAAACGGGTCCAGAGGCCTAATTACAACAAACACTTGTCAGCCAGAGAAAAAAATACCTTTTAACTCCTTTATACGTTTGTTGATTGGACTCTGAAAAAGACAAAACTATTGAAATATCAGAATATATAACAAAATTGAAAATTAGAGGTGTCCGATGAGATATTATCAGATATTGGTCTAATGTTAAAAACGATTAAAAACTACTATTACATCTACAATCTCTGACATTGAGATGCAGATGGAAAGACTGCATTTAAATATTACATGGATAAGTTGTCTAATAAATAACTATTCACTTTTTTATATATATAATATCACTTGATCCAACCTTTTCTAACATTCTGCAGAACAAAATAAGCAATAAAAGCATGTGATTTATGATAAAATGTTATTGGGTTAAGATCAGAGTTGGTCAATTCTCAAAAGTCTTATTGGAAACAAAAAAAGTTTTGGGACATTGAAAATTACATATTTATTCAGTGAATTTAATGTTACTCATAATGGATTACAATTGTTGCTCAATATTTTATATTTTATTTTAATCTCTGGGGAGTTTCAGGTCAATTTGGCCCTTTGTGCAGAAATATTTTACCTAGAACCCTTCCATTTCTCCTTCAAAAGTGCTAATATACCAATATATTACCTCTTTCTGCATTTGAATTCTTGTATTTTTCTTTGTTGACAAAATGTATGTTGCTAATATGTACTGTATTTTTTGCTTGTGTTGTAGTTTAAAACATCTCAATAAAGGTTTTATTATATAAAACAATGAGGTTTATTGTCCTAAATAAACAAATCATATTTAGAGATATTCTATTTGTAGACTTTTATTAAAACAGTTAGACAGAACAACTGCAAACAATCACAAATTGCAACTTATATACAGCAACTATATATTATATATTCATATATAATTTATTTCTACAAGTTTTTTTTATTGGAGAAAAGAAATAAATCAATGATATTAAAACAAATAGAAATTTGAGGCACTCCTCTGACCGTCACCAAGCAAATACACAGATTTTGTTGAAATTTACACAATTTACAGTATTCTTTAGAAAATGGCTTTAAATTTATGGAACAGTGTTACAGTGCTTTTAAATTTGCCTTTTTTTTCCGTTTTTTTTTTTTGGTTTTGTTTTTTTGTTTTTTTAAATCAGCTTCAACCCAAAACCATAGAGATCATCACTCAAACATATACAGGAATAGGAGTAAACAGAAAATTGGACATTTTGAGAAATTCATGTAAAGTTGAAGCTGGGTCAGAAAGGCATGTTGGCCATACCGCCAGAGCCGTAGCCGATCGGACTGTCCAGAGACATTCCCCGCTGTCTGAGAGACTGCTGGCCCATCATGCCAGCCTGAGCGTGTGGAGGCCCTACCATATGTCCCTGGTGTCCAAACGGTTCACCAGGGATCGACATGCTTCTTTGCTTAGCCTGCATCATCATAATGTTCTGCTGCGTCATTAAATTGTGCGAGTGCTGCTGTGGCGGCGCCATCATGCCCGGGTATGGGCCAGACGGATGGTGGTGAAGGTTATTGGCCATCATGGCTTGCTGTTGCTGCTGTGGCATCATCCCTGTCCTCCCCATCATATGTCCAGGAGGACACACGGGGGCAATGCTACCAGACATCATAGCCCTTGAGCCGCCCTGAGGACCGCCTAGAATCTGTCGGATTCCTCCGTGCGATGGGTGAGGGGAAAGCCGTTGTTCGGCCATGCTCTGCAGGCTGGCTAAATGTGGGTTGCATGAGGGTCCGCTGCTGTGTGGGGGGCCGGAGGAGGACAGCTGTTTGAGGAGCTGCTGTGGAGTATGCTGTTGGGAAGGGGGGCCGTGATGAGCGTTCTGATGCGGCTCGCTCTTAGGGAAGTACTGCAGAGTGCTGCTGGGCTTGTCAGACGGAATGATGCGGGACAGATCAAACTCTGGGATTCCAGTGTGAGTGGGTCGTATCACCTCGCTTAAATCCGGACCGTCGCCCAAGGGGAGAGAAGGGAAGGAGTCAGAGGGGTGAGGCGTGCGTTGGTGATGGTGGCCTTTGTTAAGCATCTGTAATTGCTGATGTGGCAGAATATCTTCGTTGGACTGGGGGAAGTTCTGTGGCATTCCTCCAACTGGAGAATGCATGGGCCCGTGTGACGGAGGCTGCATGCGAGGGAAGCCTGCCGAGAGCGGTGAGCCACTGCTAGGGCCCATCGCATCAGGTGCTCTTCTTCCCATAATAACAGAACTCATGGCTGGCATGCCCAGGTCCGGCCCTGAGGCATCATGGGACAAGTGCTGCTGAGTTTGGCCGACCAGTCCCATCGGGCTCTGAGGCTCATTCTGGGGCCCGATTGAGCCTTGACAGTTAAGTATTTGTGAAATCTGAGCATTTCCCATGTTTCCTAGAGATGAAAGAGAAATGAACAATAATGAATCTTAAAAGCTAATCTGATTTGCATCATTCATAGAGTTTGTGTGCGTTAGACCAATCTGAAATTAGCAGATATTTATAAACTTGAAACTTTGATTCCAAATTTTAATTGAAAAACCAGTAAAAATCTTAAAAACCACGTTATTCATTTACAGTGAGGAAAATAAGTGTTTGAACACCCTGCTATTTTGCAACCACTTAGAAATCATGGAGGGGCCTGAATTTGCCCAGAAACCTGACTGATCGAGAGAAGATCTGTGTGGAGGAGTGGGTCAAAATCCCTCCTGCAGCGTGCGCAAGCCTGGTGAAAACTACAGGAAAAATTTGACCTCTGTACTTGCAAAAAAAGGCTACTGTACCAAATGTTAATATTGATTCTCTCAGGTATTAAAATACTTATTTGCAGCTGAATCATACAAATAAATAGTTGACAAAAAATCACATATTGTGATTTCTCAATTTTTTCTTTTTTAGATTATGTCTCTCCAGTCGACATGCACCTACAAAGAGAATTTCAGACCCCTCCATGATATCTAAGTGGGAGAACTTGCAAAATAGCAGTGTTCAAATACTTCACTCACTGTTTACACCCTTTATGCTGATGCCCCCAAATAAACCCCAGTGTAAACACTTATAAATATAGTAAGTCTCCTTATTACATAGAACCAACCATAGCTTCATTTCATAGCATCTCTTTAGTTTGACACTTTATTAACTTGTACTTATGACCTGAAATGAAAATATGAATCATATCAAATCTAATCAAAAACCATTTCCCAAGCTTTAAAGATGGGTGACTTAGGCTGCATTCCCAAATAGAGTCTTATTTTTTTTTTCCGTTTCCAGTTGCCATTTATACTACTAATCAAATACTTCCCCCATTAGAACAGATCAGAACATCAAAGTACCTGATCACCTGAGAATGACGATGTTGCACATGAGCAGAGTTTATAGAGGTAATAATGGGGTTGAGTGTGACTTAGTTTAAAGAAACTGCCCCAATTAAGCATAAAAGTATTTCTGTTCAGCTAAATGCGTCCCAGTTTCCTGCCTGTAGAGTCTCATATTCTCCTTGGCTACAGTTACGTTGGACAACGATGATAAGCAGTATTATGCCCACATCGACAGCATTAAAACATACAATCTTGTTAAAAGCTCAAAACTAGAACCTGAATCTGACTTAAGGGTAGAAACAGATTAAATAAAGAATTGATATGAAAACAATAGGAGAGCTGCTACTGTTGATGGAAATAGTATCCATTTTGAATGCAGAAATCGGGAAATATCCTGTTTAACCAACTCTCTGACTTGTAATCAAGACTTTTAGCAGCGGTGGAGTTGAAATTGAAATTGAAGACTTGGTAGTTGGGCATTTTGACTTCCCAGGACAGATTGAAGGCACCATAATCATTTAAGTGAGTAGCGATGGGAGCTGACAGTATAGCACCAAAAAACCGGCAGATAATTATTAACAGCCTATAGCAGAGCAGTCAGTGGCTGCTGCAGAGAAGTCTGTGTGGATGCATATTGGGAGCAGGACAAATACAGCATTACGGTTCAGAAGGCAAAAATGCCTGGAAAACAAGACACATATCTGATTTAGTGATACATATGAAAGAGGCTAAACCCTGAGTTTTGTTTAGATGAAAATATACAAATTGGGCTGTTCAGACCTGATCAGAAAACAGGCTATGAGTCACACGTGGCTAAAAAGATCGGTTTTGGTTCGCATTTCCCTGCACTGAACGTAGGCTAAGAGAAGTGTTCACCTGGTTGTGGGAAAAATGGAAAGGTTACAGAGCCTTTTCCAATGCAACAGGCTTTTTAAAAGCATTACTGAAGTGCGCTCTTAAATCCTTTTTTCCATTTTTCACGGTTTTATGCTGACAGCTCTGCAGGAGCAGAAAGGCTTGGATGCAGCCTCCCTGCTCCTGCTCGTCTCCTCCCTCCATGGACTTCACCATCTACAGTTCCTCTACATAATATAAAAACTTGCTCAGAATTTAGTCTTGAAATCAATTCTCTGCACCTGTAGACTGATTTGACGTTTGTCATTTATAAGATTTAAACTAAAAACATTTATGCTTTTAGTGTATACATCTAATATGAGTTTACCTATTTATTATAATAAAAGCAAAAAAGCGTGTTAATTGGTGTTGACACGATGAGACAATAATTAACCAACAATTCTGGCCAGGGGTAGGTTAATAGAAAATTAGATTTTTAATTATCTAAACTTTCCTGCTTATGGATTCATTACAACTTGATAAAAGAAGGATTTAATCAACCATATAACTCTAGAGCCTTTCTAATACTATTTATATGTTAAAACAAAAAGGAGGTTTACCTTTTAGCACAA